GACAATAAAAAAACCTGGTTAATTTTCCATTTTTAGGAGCTACTTCATCTTCCTGATGTTTCTGCCGTAGAACAATAGTGGTGCAAAAGGGATTTCACACTCCGGGGGAAAACTTGGCTGACAAGTATCTGCATGTTTGCATTGAAATTTTGTGAAAAGCTTGCCCCACATATTACATTCTGGAAAATACTTTTTTTCAGAATGTTCATAGTGGAAACCACTTGAAAGCTTCTCTTTATTATTCCTACCACTGTACATTTCTTTCTTTCCCACATTCAGAACAAGTCTGGCACCATATGCAGAGCTAATGGGATTTCATGGAGCGTTAATAGTAAGACTGTAAGAAGAACTAATACAATATTGTGTTAATTAACAACTGTGCTAAACTGCAGTGTTAGTGTAACCCAAAAGCTATGATTTATATTCAAAGAGCAGCTGTATAAGCCTGGATTTGAAAATCCTAACATGCAGCCCATCTCCTYAAGGCTCACAGAAATCACACATTAAGCTTCTTGTCCTCTTTGTARAGGCACAGAACGTGCTGTGGAAGGACAGAAATTCATTTTGCAAACAAATCCAAAATTTGAAATTCTGCTTCATTATAAATGAAGACATGAAGGGGGAATTTTGAARTTTGTTATGAGAGAAAGCCACACAACCACAGTTTTCCAAGTTGATTCAAACTTTTTGTTCAGACAAAAATGTTCCTTATGAATTGAACTTTTAACATAAACATTGTACTTAAAATATTATTAAGACTTGTTCAAAATKTTAGAAATTATTGATAATGTTAGAAAGGACTGTTCTGACTCTGTCACAATTTTTATCACATCTTACTCCCCTGAAATGCAATTCTGGCAAAGMTTTTCAGACTTTTTAAAGTTGCACTATGACAAATCTTTGTGTTCTATAGTGGAAAGGAGTTCTATAAAACATTCTTCACATGACTGTAGGCAGAATTGGCTGTGTCAAATATTGTCAGCTGTGTTAGATTAACTAAAAARGAAGCCTGAAGATAACAAGATAAGGGAGCCTCTCAGCTGGATTTTAGTACTCATTGCTGTCCTTTGATAACAAATCTCCAATTTGGATTTTAATTGCATAACTCATCTTCTCTCGCAATATGTTTGCACATGTTGAGAATTACCAGTTTATGGCAGAAGGCTTTCTGCCATCAAATCTTATCTAGTAACTCTTCTGTTAATGTTCCATCGCTAATTGTAGCATTAAGGAAAACCACACTGGTGATTTGGTGGATATTCTGGTGTGTCTTATAACCTAGAAACCTATGATTCCCACAACACAGATGCTTCTGGAATGTTTTGACTGGTTCTTCCATTCCAATCAGMTGGTACAAATGCAGATTTAGTCTGTAGCATTGTTAGAAACCTAGATGAACACTTGCATTCTGGAATTATCTCCAGAACTAAAGGCTTCAAATTCCCTCCAAGCCACCTACACTGCTTTCMTTCTGCTGAGGCTGCTAAAAACTGGTCTTTGTGTGCACAGGAGGATGAGCAGATACCCAAAGGCATTTTAGGATCATAGAATATGATTGGGTTGGAAGTGACTCCCTAGGATCATTAGAATCCAAGTTCTGGCCCTGCATAGGACAGTCCCAAGGATCCCACCAATGTGTGTGAGAGCATTGTCCAAACGCTTCTTGAACTCTTGGCCACTTRTTTTTTCAGGAAAGAGGCATCAGTCCTTTAATTCATAACTCTGGTTAGCAAAAAGAGGGGGATGTTTATGTATTTTCCTTTRCATAGATTACAAATTAATTTGCCCTTCAACATTTTTATTTCCAGCCAGAGATATCTGCCATGGTGCAGAATACCCRGGGATTGCTGGAGATCCTGGTACAGTGATGTCTGTGCTAGGCAGACCTGAGGGCATTGGTCAATGCAATGGTGACAGAATGKCATTGTGGAAATAGGGGAATAAAAAAAATTTGTACAAATCTAAACAGCAGCCACATCTCAGAGGGCACAATATATCATCTGGCCATGTGCACACCAGTGTGGGTGCAGTTCAGTAATGAGAGATGTGGTTCCAAGATGGATATRGAATGCAGAGTGGTTTAGGATGAAAAATGGAATATAAATGACTGGTGTGGTTACCAGTAAAATACATTTTTCAGTGTAAAAATGTTCTTCCTGTGTTTTGTATATCTTTCCTATTACAATTTCCAGAATACTTATACATAAATATATAATGAAAATTGGTTCCCTTAACTATGTGAGAAGACAGAAAAGTAAAATCTTAATTTAATAGAAAAACCCATATTTCATGGTTTCCACATTCCTGGAAATTAATGYTTCATGGCTATGTTGCTTCCACAGTAAAATAGTAAAGCTTTTCTGGTGACATAATGAACCTCAAGAGTAAAGAAACACAAACCCTTCAGGAGCTTAAATCCATGAGATTGCTGCAGACTGAATAATATTTTGGTTYCCTCCCTTTCTGAGGTATATTTTAATTCAAGAAATTCCAATCAGCTAGTGCAGGCCACCCTTAAATGTTCATTCTTGGCTTAGAAATTCAGGGCTCTCTGCATTTTACCGATAGTACATAATAGCAATAGTAATCACAAATCACAAATTTCAAACAAAGTCTTGCTTAGAAATCATCTGTGTATCAGTTGTTCTTTGATGTTCAAGGACTGGATAGTCAATTCTATGGCTCTGCCTCAACTTCCAGGTTATTTAAACCATTCCTTTAAAGAAGTTTTTAGCTCCTTGGATTGCAGAGGGTCTTTGAATTCCATTTGTTTGGTGCTCACTTAAGAATTGTTTCTGATGTTCATGTATCAATGTTACCAGAAATTTAATCCAAGATCAAGACCCTGTCYTCATTCACCACTGACAGGTGATTAGGGAAATACTCAATTTGTCCTTCMATCAGACATTTCTCCCAGATAACCACAATAATGTAAAGGCTTAGCCAAAGCACAGTAAATCCCACTTCTGCCGTGCCACTGCCAAAGTTGTGGTATCACTTGGTTTCCCCATATCAGGTCCAGCGCTTCTATTCTGTGYGACTGAAGGTCAAATATTACCTTTATTATATGATTATGAGCCTTAAGCCCTGGCTGTGGCCTCCAAATGCCACTGCAACCCAACAGAACAGAGCAATTGAGCAAATGTTACAGGATTCTGACCAGAAATCCCAGCTTTGCAGCTACACCAACCAGCAAAGCTCAAGCTGTTCATGTTCCAAAGGCAGTTTGGACACTGCAAATGTCCTTTCATCCCTGACTGGAAGAGAGCACCATCATTTTGAAAGATACAACTGAGTGGATGTGTTAAAATGCTTTTGTGAAAATTCAGATATTTTTAGCTTGACTTTCTTGTTTGGATGTTTATATGAGCTAATCTGAGCTGACCTGGTATGTGATATGACAATGTGATACATTTTAAAGTATTGAAATAGTTGAAGTGAAACATCAGTTTCCTACAGAATACAGTAATGAAGTCAAAACATTCCTTGTCCCTAAATTTAGTGAAACAAGCCAGTAATTCCCAGAGGAAACTGATTTCAAGAGGAGCARCCCTGCCAAGAAGCATTTCCCCAATCTCTCTTTGTCCAGATCTATCCCATCCACTCAGCATGCGTGGTCTAGGAAGCAGCCACCATAGGCTTTTTGACAGGAGGAAGAAACAGCTRACATCTCCAGAGCACTCTGACCACCTTAGAGCTGGACTGGACTGAAATCAGAGCTTCCCCTCTCTCCAGTGGCTGTGCAGTGACGGTGCATCCTTGTGCACAACCCATTCAGCATCTTCATTGTAAGGACAAACAGGAGTGCAGTGGGTTCTGAGAAGCTGTGGCTGTCAGAAAGAAGGCATGGACTTGGATAAGCAAACACCCACTAAAAATCAGGGTCATAGTACCAGGGCACTGCATTAGAGGGAGCTGTACAGCACTGCCTAGTGCCAACTGGCAAAAGCTTTGCCACTTATTCCACTGAGTGCCATTCACTTGKTTTTTTTCCATGCTCTTAATCCAGGCTCCCCAGAGCATTTACAAYGGTGTATCAGACAGTAGGCCTGCCCAGAGGAACTTCATTCTTACGTGTGATTAAAACCRGTTGTTGTGCTGCATCCCATCCTTCTTCTCTTCCTTTGATGCTTCTTACAACTTGACAAAAAAAATCCTTCTTCCACTTGCCAAAAATGATTTGTTCTCTGTGGACAGCACCACATYTCATTGAAGAAAAACAGATTACCTTTGATTTTAAGTGGAGCTAATTCTGTTTGAGAGCAATAACAACACACTGCCTTTCAAACAGGTTAATACCTGTCTTTTCCAAACAAYGGCAAGTAAGCACTCCCAGACCATTATACAAAACAAAGCTCACGTTCTCATCACCATAAATAACAATATTTGTATGACASTGTGCACCCTTAGGCCTTGAAGAATGGGTTTTATTGTGTTTGGGATAAGGAAATTGAGGCACAGAAGGGTGATCTGGGCAGCATTACAGCTTGTAGTAGTGAGTGAGTAATACCTCTAAAACCAAGCCACCACAGGAACTGCAGAAYATTTTGTAGGCAGACATAAACTGATACTGGCTGTGCTTGGAACAGATTGAAACAGCACAGTTGTGGTTAGCCTTACTTACTTGCTCAACCTGGAATGTTCTCCAAAGAGAGGGCTCAGGCTGAATATTGTGCTCAGGAATATTTACAGCATCTGTTCCTTTCAAAGCATTGGAAGAGCAACTCAGTGTATGCCTGCAGCAAAAATAAAAACATAATTGGTGAAAAGCCTCTTTCCCTGTATCTCTCTTCAATGAAATGTTGATT